CCGACTTTCGTTAGAGCTGATCTGATCAATACATATCCACCGCAAAGAACTAACTGCTTTCGGCCATCTGGTCGGACTTTACACCGAATAAGTGAACATTTTAACGATTTAATACATAATGTTCCCGAATGACGAAATTTACATTTCAAATTGGGTAAAACGCTCAACAAAATTTGACTTCTTATTCCCACCAACAACGAAATGACGTAATCTCCAAATTTTACAATAGTTAATGTTATTTAAATATTGTATCTTCCGTTTATGGTCTATGAATCCGTGTTTTAATCTTAGGAATTAAGGTTTTTGAAAAAAAATCAACAACATTTTACAGTTGGAAGCATGTTAAATTGTTACTCAAAATCTATTCGTTCATGCTCCCCAGGAATTGATGATCTCATCTTACAAGTTTGTCGAATAAATGTAGCACAGTTCTGAACTTGTGGTTTATGAATACACCTTGAATTTTTATCCTCGATATTGAGATTTTTCGGCTTTTCTATTTCTCGATTTTTCAACTTTAGATTTCTTTGGCTTTTTCAATTTTTTTGTTCTTCAAATTTTCGATTTCTTGATTTTTCATTTTTCGATTTTAAACTATTTTGGTTTTTCGGTTTTTCACAATTTTAACGTTTCTAAATTTTCAGTTCTGCAATTTTTCGATTTTTCAGTTTTTTGCTGTTTTAATTTCTCAATTTTTAGATTTCTTTCAATTCTGGGATTTTTGAATTTTTCGATTCTTCAGTTTTTCAGTATTTCGATTCTTGGATTTTTCGATTTTTCCACTACTGCATTTTTTACTTTTTGGATTTTCAGTTGTTTTAAATGTTAGATTTTTCAGTTTTTCGACTGTTTAATATTTCGATTTCTCGATTTTTAAACTTTTCGATACTTTAATTTTTCAAGTTTTAAAAATCTAGATTTTTCAATTTTTTAATTTACCATTTTTTGGATATTTTTTCCAATTTTGCGATTTTTCAATTTTTCGATTCTTCAATTTTTCTTATATTTTTGAATTTTTCGATATTTCAGTTTTGCGATATTTCGGTATTTTTATTCTTCGACTTTTCGATTTCTTGACTTCTGTATTTTTTGAGCCCTCGATTTTGTACATTTTGAATTTTCAATTTTTCGTTTTTAACTTCAGATTTCTTAATTTTTGGACGCTTTTATACTCAGATTTCTCAATTTTTCAACTTTTCGATTATTAATTTTTCAACTTTTATTATCCTGGATTTTCCGAATTTTTAAATTTTCGATTTTTCAAATTTTTGATGCCTCGATTTATCAATTTTTCAATTTTTAACTTTTTCATTTTTCGATTTTGGCGTATTTCGGTTTTTTAATTTTTCTATTTCTCGATTTTTCGACTCCTCTAATTCTCGATCCTTTTGTGTTTCGATTTCTCAATTTGGCGATGTTGTAGTTTTACGATTCCTCAATTTTTCTCCTTTTCAATTTTACGATTTTTAAATATTTTGATTTTTCAATTTTTCACAATTTTGACGTTTCTAAATTTGCAGTTTTTCAATTTTTCGATTTTTCAGATTTTCACCGATTTAATTTCTCAATTTTTGGATTTCTTTCAATTCTGAGATTTTTGAATTTTTCGATTCTTCAGTTTTCAGTATTTCGATTCTTGGATTTTTCGATTTTTCGACTTTTGGGTTTTTTACTTTTTGGATTTTCAGTTTTTCGTTTTTTAAATGTTAGATTTTTCTGTTTTTCGACTGTTTAATATTTCGATTTCTCAATTTTTCAACTTTTCGATACTTTAATTTTTCAATTTTTAAAAATCTAGATTTTTCAATTTTTTAATTTACCGTTTTTTGGATATTTTTTCCAATTTTGCGATTTTTCAATTTTTCGAGTCTTCAATTTTTCATATATTTTTGAATTTTTCGATATTTCAGTTTTGCGATATTTCGGTATATTTATTCTTCGACTTTTCGATTTCTTGACTTCTGAATTTTTTGAGTCCTCGATTTTGTACATTTTGGATATTCAATTTTTCGTTTTTAACTTCAGATTTCTCAATTTTTGGATGGTTTTATACTCAGATTTTTTTCAACACTCATTATCCTGGATTTTCCGAATTTTTAAATTTTCGGTTTATCAAATTTTTGATGTCTCGATTTATCAATTTTTCAATTTTTAACTTTTCCATTTTTCGATTTTGGCGTATTTCGGCTTTTTAATTTTTCTATTTTTCGATTTTTCGACTCCTCTAATTCTCGATCCTTTGGTTTTTCGATTTCTCAATTTGCCGATGTTTCAGTTGTACGATTTTTCAATTTTTCTCCTTTTCAATTTTACGATTTTTAAATATTTTGGTTTTCCAATTTTTCACAATTTTGACGTTTTTAAATTTTCAGTTCTTCAATTTTCCGATTTTTCAGTTTTTCACTGTTTTAATTTCTCAATTTTTGGATTTCTTTCAATTCTGGGATTTCTGAATTTTTCGATTTTTCAGTTTTTCATTATTTCGATTCTTGGATTTGTCAATTTTTCAACTTCTGGACTTTTTACTTTTTGGATTTTCAGTTGTTCTTTCTAACTTTTCGATTCTTCAATTTTTCAATTTTTAAAAATCTAGATTTTCCAATTTTTCTTTTTTACAGTATTTCGATTTTTCAATTTTTCAATTTACCGATTTTTGGATATTTCTTCCAGTTTTGCGATTTCTCAATTTTTCGATTCTTTAATTTTTTTATATTTTTGAATTTTTCTATATTTCAGTTTTGCTATATATTTATTCTTCGACTTTTCGATGTCTTGACTTCTGTATTTTGATTTCTCGATTTTGTACATTTCGAATTTTCAGTTTTTCGTTTTTAACTTCAGATTTCTCAATTTTTCAACTTTTCGTTTATTAATTTTATTATCCTGGATTTTTCGTTTTCTCGAGCTTTTAATTCTTCTATATTTAAAGTTTTAAGTTTTCCGAATTTTTGAATTTTCGATTTTTCAAATTTTTGATGTCTCGATTTATCGAGATTGGGACATTTTGATGTTTTGATTGTTCAGTTTCTCGATTTATCAATTTTTCAATTTTTAACTTTTCCATTTTTGGATTTTGGCGTATTTCGGATTTTTAATTTTACTATTTCTCTATTTTTCGACTTCTCTAATTCTCGGTTCTTTGGTTTTTCGATTTCTCGATGTCTCAGTTTTTGAATTTTTCAACGTTGCGATTTTTCGGTTCTTCGATTTTTTACTTCTTACTTTTTCGATGTTTCAATTGTTCAATTATCCGATTTTTCAATTTTTCAATTTTTTTAAATTCTGGGGTTTCAATTTCTCGATTTTTAGATTTTTCAATGTTTCCATTTCTAAACTTTAGGTATCCGAATTTGTATTTTTTTGATGTGTGGATTTCTCGATTTTTCAATTTTTCGACATTTTAATTTTTCAATTTTTTAAATTTTGGAGTTTCGATTTCTCGCTTTTCAATTTTTCGATATTTTAATTTTTCAAATTTTTCGATTTCTCTATATTGTTATTTTTTAATTCTTCGATTTTTGTGTTATTCAATTTTGCGGTTTTACGATTTTTTGTTTCGATTTCCTGCCATCTTGATTTTTCGATTTAAAACATTTTTCCATTTTCCGATTTTTAGATTTCTCGATTTTTCAAGTTTTTGATTTCTCAATTTTTAGGAACTTTTCAGTTAGTGTTTTTTTTTTCAATTTTTCGATTTTTAAAATTTTTGATTCTTAGATAATTCAACTTTTCTATTTTTCAGTTTTTCCATCGCTGTTGAAAGTTTTCCCAATGCTAATAACATACAATGTATGGAAAATAACTACAAAAATCGTCACTAATAATATGTAAAAATTAATGCAAAGTAGAACACAATACATATTTTTAAAACAATGAAATAACTGCACTTTCCCGAAAAAAATCTATTGTATGATTAGTGTTCCACTAGTACTTCTTTCTAATTTAGGAGGTTTTGCTAGTATCAAACAGAATTAAAGAGGTAATTCTTAGTTAAGCAAAAAAATAGTTACCTCTGTATATCCCGCAGAAATTCTTAACGCTTAGAGTCGACATTGGTCTGAGCGCGCTCTGGTCTGTAGATCAAACAAGTTCTCAGACGACGAATACCGTCTAGATGATAAAACACTAACCAAAATTTGTCGGATTATCTCCACCATTCCCACCAACACTGTAATCGTGTCATTTTACGATTTTCCTCAGTCAATAACATGTAAAGTTTATAAAATAATAATATACTCCAGATAGTAACTCATTTGAGATACACCTGTTAAAACTTTTATGACTTAAGCCGCTTAAGACAAACCACCCTTATATGTCAAACTTGCTATTGTATTACTTAACTCAGTTCACAGCTACATTATGCCAACAATGGACAGTAATAATCTTGCGGTTCGGGTCCACAAAGCTTACAATAGCCAGTTTGACTTATAAGGGTGGTTTGGCTTAAGCCGCTTAAGCCATAAAAGTTTTAACAAGTGTATCTCAAATGAAGTTACAGTAATTTCATCTGAAGCTTTAACGGTTTTAAGGTCGCCTTTATTACACTGGATCTATACTTTTTAATCGAAATAAAACGTTAAGCAGCTAAAATGCCCCAAATTTATATACAATTTCTAAAAACCCTAATTTGTCACTATCGTGTTTATTTAAACGAACGATTTTCGTAAACTGTGCTTTATGTCAAAGAAAAATGTTGCATAAACTCAAAACCTCATAACTTCAGTCTGACAACCCATCCCCACTTAATAAAAACCCCAAAAACCCCAGCCTCTGTACCGTGAAAAATCAATCCCCCCATCACAAAAAATATTACTTTACTCCCAAATCCCCGCCCCATATTTCTCAAGCACCCGCTCCTTTCCCTCCTCTCCACACTCCAACGGTCTTTTTCAACTTTTTCCAAATTAAAAATCGTCGGTAAAAGCGCACGCGCCCTTACCGACATTTCAAATTGAAATCGCGCGACGCTGAAATAGACGCTTCACTCGACGTCCGTCGTTCACGAAACACGTATCACAGGTACAAATGGTACAGAGACTTTTGAGAAGCTGATTCGGTTGAACGAATGGTAGTCGATGGGACAATGTAGGCTTTCTATGTATAATAACATCCGTGGCGTATAATTTTTTTTGTCTATTTTATTTGATTTGTCGGTGTTCGATGTTTGGTGTTAGAGACGATTATGAGCAACTTTTGGCGGAAGTTGGCGAAGAGGTAAATCGGGCGGCTTGAGGTGGTGAGGCGGCGTGCTGCTTCAGTAAGGTAGGTTGGAGGGTGTTGCATGATGAGGAATATAGTAAAAAATTAAAAAAAGCGGATAAAGTGGTGCAACAACTGTTGCACTAGTAGTTCGTGGCATGAAAGATCAGTGCGTTTTTTTAAATGTTGATTAAAAATAAAACTGCACAAATTATTTTGTAGAATTAGTGTTAAATTGGTGTTTACTGTTCATTATGTGAATTAAAGTTGAACGTGTTCCGGCGTGGTTATGCAACCAGTCGTACGAATTCAATTCCCAAGTGTGTTGTTCCAAGCGGTCTGATGTCTTAAAATTGATACGAACATTAACTTGCAGCGATTTTATTTATTTTATTTTGTTGTTCATGCTTCTGTTAGTTTGGTATTGTTGTCAGCATTTTATTTGTTTTCCTGTGTTTTAAATTTTGTGTAACCAGAAACTCGACACAATACCGAAATGTTCGAGTTTCGCCCTTTTTTGTTGTTGTTGTTAGCTACGTATTGCGATATATTTTTTTGTGAATTATTGTTTAAATCATTGAGACCATGCAAGCTGTTTTAATTAAAACTTTTCAAATTATATAGTTAGGTATTTGCTGTTTGCTATTTAATTAATACTGAAGCTTTCACATAAAGTTAATGTTTTTCTTTAATCTTGTTGACTTATAATTGATTTATAATTTGTTATTGTAAACGAAACAAATCTATCATCTACGTACGTTGTAACTAACATATGATGAAATAAAAAAAAAAAAACATCGGACAACTCTGAAGTTGCTTAATTTTCTTGAAAGGACGACGTAATGTTTTATTGATCGCCATACATTTTCAATAAAAAAGAAGTGTCATTAAAGTGACTAATTCCAAATTTTTGTTTTTCTAAAAATGTTACAGACTCGCCGTTGAATATCGACGTTTGCTCTTTTATTTTTCCAGTGAAGATAATAATATCGTAGTTTATTAATATTTATGTGCCAGTGGGCGTTTACATACGTTATAAAAATAGGTACAAGTGAAAAAAATCCTGTACAATGACAAACGAACATATGGGTGGGAATATTTTTAAAAGAAAAATCATTAATAGACATATTGTTAGAGATAGGTATTATTATTATTAACAATTATTAAAATCAAAATTATTTTTGTGGACAATTTATTGAACAAGTTAACAGCATTTTTTATAGAGCGTTCTCTGCCCTTTTTGATCCACTCATTGCCGTGCTATCAAGCACATAAATTATAGTTTACACATTTTTAGTCATTGGCAGGTCGTTCATATTTCTTATAAAAGATAATGACATATGTTGGAACCCTGTGACGTTCCAATGATCCAATTTTTTGATTTTTGTTTATAATTCGGTATTTATTATTTAGAGTTAGATACGATATCAATAATTACAAGTAATGGGAATATAAATTATATTTTTTTAATCTTTTGATAAGGATAGATGTGACACATAATCAAAACATAAATAAAAAATATACTATTGTACTTTAAATTGTTATAATATTAATGTTTGTATTGTCTAATCCATTCGTTTATTCATTAGTGAAATAATAAAGTTTTAATTCTCTAATCACTTTTATAACTCTATGGCCTCATATATCTTTAGATTTTTTAAAATTGTATCTATTTTATGTATCATGTTATTTCAAACTAAGTTTTTTCGTCAAATTATTTTTTGAACTGGAAATAATTTTACTAAATGTTGTTCAAAGAATTTTAGTTTTCGAATTTTACTTCCAGAGGGCAAGCAAATCTCCCGTTTCCGTCTGTCTGCCTGTCGTCTGTCTGTGTCGATTTTTATTAAACGGACAATTTCCGAAACTATCCACCCGATTGTTGTTAAATTTTATACGTATGTTAGAAATATATTGTTGAAACGGTATTAAAAAATGTCCTTATTATCTCTACCCACTATTTACGTTCCCTTATCATTTTCCTGTATTCGTGGTTTATGAATCAACCTTAATTTTTATCATAATTACAAATAAAATTAGCAGTGCAATTTTCGAAGAAGCTCTATATTTGTTCGACTGTATGCTTAAACAATTTTTTAAATTATACCTAATAATTATACAGGGTGAGTCACCAAGCATTATTAATTATTATTAGAGATAGAAAAGTCAAAGACGAAAGTTATTATTATGTTAGTTTACCCTCTTCGTAGGCTTTATAAAAGCAGTTTATTTTTGAAATTCCGATGCGACATTGCCACGTTATTCTAATTTTCTTGAATTTTTTAGGTAATGAAAGGGTTCACAAAAAAATCGCAAATGAGTTATTTTTTCAGCTTTTTCAGAACGAACACCCTTTATTTTATTACTCTGTCTTGCTCTATTTTTTGTCCTTATTCTTCTAATAAATATCAACTTTAAACTTAGAAAATAGGAGAGAACAAAAAATGGCATAAGATGCAGTATTAAAAATAAATTAAAATAAGAGTATTAAAATTGGTTTTAGTTGATACCACAACAAAGCGCGTATCTTTTTTTATCTATCCACAAAATGTAATAATCGTATTGTGATTTTTTTTGTAAACCCTTCTATTGCTAAAAAATTTCAAGAAAATTAGAATAACGTGGCAACGTCGCATCATAATTTCAAAAATAAACCGTGGCTGTAAAGATTAGGAAGAGGTCAACCAAAATATCTAAAAATATGTAGGGTGTTTCATTAATAAAAACTAAGTTGTGTGTTACGTCTAGAAAACAGAATACTCAGTATAGCTAAAAATAATTTTAGAGTCTGGTCCTAAAAGAACCGCACAAATTTGTGCTTTGACTTTTTTTCTAATTCTAATAGTTAATAAGATATCGAAAAACGCGCGCTTAATGACCAGCCAATATATACAGGGTGAGTAGATAAAAATATAGAAAACCGTCAATGACTAAAGTTGTTTGGTTTCACTAAAATTATTTTAATTTATACAGTGTGTTTTAATATTTTTACAAATTTTTAGCAGAGTTTATGACAATAGTTTTTTTGCATTCTGATGCGACGTTGCCATGTTGTTCGAATATACTTGAAATTATTTAGCAGTGCATGGGTTGAAAAAATAAATTTTCATAGAGTTATTTTAAAATCTTTCTAACTTCACTAATAAAAGAGAGGGTGGGTGGGCGGGGCTAAAAATTGTTAAAATTAGACTGATTTTGGCAATTTTTTTTGGTAATGAAAGGGTTCACAAAAACATCGCAAAACGATTATTTTTAAAGACTGTTATAGATTATTTTGTGGAAAAAATAATAAAGGTATGCGCTTTGTTGTGGTATTAACTCAGCCAAATTTTAATATACTAATGTTTAAAAAAAATCTAAAACCTTACAGTTTTTAAATATCGATATTTCAGTTCTTACTCTGTTTTTTGTCCTAATTCTTCTAATAACTACCAACTTTAAATATAGAAAATAGAATCTATCCACAAAATATAATAATCGTACTGTGATTTTTTTTGTGAACTCTTTCATTGCTAAAAAATTTCAAAAAAATTAGAATAACCTGGCAACGTCGCATCATAATTTCAAAAATACCAGTGTTTCATTAATAAAAACTAAATTGTGTGTTAAGTCTTGAAAACAGAATACCCTGTATATTTAAAAATAATTTTTGAGTGTAGTCCTAAAAGAACCGAAAAGCTTTATTGTTTGCCTTTTTTTCTATTTCTAACGGTTAATAAAATATCGAAGAACGCGTGCTTAGTGACCCACCTGTATATACAGGGTGAGTCACTTCGCGTAGATAAAAAAAATAGAAAACAGTCAATGACTAAAGTTGTGTGGTTTCACTAAAATTATTTTCGTCTATACAGTGTGTTTTGTTTCTGAAGCATAACATAACCTAGTTTTTTTTTAGTGGAACACTCTGGACATTTTTACAAATTCTTAACAGATTTTATAACAACAGTTTTTTTTGCAATTCTGATGCGACGTTGCAATGTTATTCGAATATACTTGAAATTATTTAGCAGTGCATGGGTCGAAAAAAACACATTTTCATAGGGTTATTTTAAAATATTTCTTAGAATACTGGGTATTTGGTTTGCTGTGGCATAAATAAAATTGAGTCTTAATATACAGTGTGTTAACAAAAAAATTAAAACATTACTATTACTTTTTTATAATCTTCCACTTTGTTAGATTTTTTCTATATTATATATTTTATATATACCGGGTGTCAGAAAAATGGGGGATTAACTCTTCACTACTGTTTATGATGCAGATTACGAAAAAAACGTGATTTTATAAAAGTAAAATTGGCAACACTGCACATACTTAATGCATACTCACTTTCTGATTTCTTAGGAACAATGGTGACTGAAATCCAACTTTTATTTTTTTAGGACAATAACCATAACAACCAGTAGTGAGTAGCCATCAATAAATAAACAAAAAAGAATTTTTTAGTAAGACATTTATAAATTATAAACAAAACCAAAAACAACAAAAAAAAATCCATTAATCCTGGCTTATAATGTTTCCAAATTTTTGTAATTTTTTGTAAAACTTAGTCATCAGTACTTGCTAACATTGCAAACTTGATTTTGGCAAATCAGTTACTCTCTAAAAAAAGAAAGGGGATAGTAGCTGCTAAAATAAGATCGATTTGGGCAAATGAGATACCCTCTAAGAAAAGAGAGGGTGGGTGGGCGGGGTTAGTATCTACTAAGATAAGACTGATTTTGGCAAATGAGATACCCTCTAAGAAAAGAGAGGGTGGGCGGGCGGGGCTAGTACGTGCTAAGATAAGACTGATTTTGGCAAATGACGTATCTTGGAAGAAATTTAATTAAATTATTATCTTCTAAGAAAAGACGGGGTGGATGGGTGGGGCTAGGACCTAATAAGATAAGACTGATTTTGGCAAATGAGATACTTTCTAAGAAAAGCGAGGGTGGGTGGGCGGGACTAGGAATTGTTAAAATAAGACTGATTTTAGCAATTGTTTTGGTAATGAAAGAGTTCACAAAAAATCGCAAAAGGGTTGTTTTTAAAGTCTGTTATAGAATATTTTGTGGAAAAAA